ATTTCATAGAATTCTAAGAAGTGATAAAGGCTATTAAAGTCATTGCATTATAAATGATATACTTTATTATAATGAAAATGATAATAAGAACTCAGATAAACCATATATTGCCGTAGTCGTGTGTTTATTAGTCACGCTGAATCAGTGAAAGCATTTAAATCCTCAGTTTATTCAGCAACCGCTATAGGGATTTCCTGATTTCTCCTGCGGGGCGTATTTGGAGTTTCTCTGGCCTTCGGATGGAGGTTTACTACTGATCACAGAACCGTGCTTCACTGAAAGATACGCATGACAATCGCAGCTTCTGTCTAATCGCGATTTCAATTTCATTTCGATTTATCGTGTAGCCCTAGCGGAATCTTATTTTTCTTTATTTTATAAAAGCACAAAGATTTTTTATTGTGAATGTACACATAAAAGCAAACCTTTTACAGTTTCATTTATCTATATGACTAGAAGGAGTAGTTGTTTCCATTGTTAGAAGGAAAAAATTCAAGTGATTGCGCAGGCAATGTCGAATGTGAGTAATAAAATAAGCACAAAATAGCGCGACAGCCCCTCGCGGACGACTGTCGCGCACAAACGAAACCAAAACACAAAATAAAATCCAGGCCTGGTCCTCTCTCGTCCAACACTGTAATCACTCCTCCTTTATCCTTCCGGAGCTCCTCCGTGAGACTCGAGACCGGTGAGTGGGTGCAGGTGTCCCTCATTAGCAATCACTCCACCGGCCTCGCTCCGTTCCCACGGCTCTCGGCCCCGCCCCCACTCGTCACATTCTTGTTCTTTTCTGAATAGGCTACTGTTAAATTTAAAAGATTTGCTGTGGAGTTAGGGGAACTAAAATAGTCTAGCCTATATGTTTATAATGTTTGTAAACATTTCGAGTCGGCATTAGGCCTATTTCTGAATGAAATAATAAAATGCGACTTAGGCTACGCGACGTGTTTTTTAAATTTATTTTCTTTCTCAAAAAACGCAATTTTATTTTATTGGTCTCTAAGCTTAGCGTATTTTAACCATGCAGCAAACGTTTTGAACTATTTCGATTAATAACTGGAAATACTTTTTAAACCGTTTAACTGATGGCCAAAATTCTTACTGTTGGTTAACGGTTAACCGGTTAAAATGAGCATCCCTAATCTAAACCTATTCATTTCTCATTTAGGAAACCAATCCTGGTCAAATATTGCTTTTGACAACACCTTGCCCTGGTAATGTTTGTTAAAAGCATACTGTCGTTTCACAACCCTGTTCCTGGATGCACTCCAGCAGTTCACATTTTGTTCGTCTTATCTGACCCGTCTGTTTCAGGTCCTGGAGTCTGAGCTCATTTGAGCTGAATGAGTTGATCAGGAAGAGTGTAGTGTCGCTGTTTCTCTTGGAAACACGGCATTCGACACCTGTCTCTGTACACGATTCCTCACTGATAACGAATGAATGGCCAATAACTTTCAGCCCGCATCTCCTCATGGCTCTCTGGAGACTATCACAGATAGGCTATCGTGTGGACGTTTACTGTGTGCCGCAGCCTTTTCTCTATTAGCAGCTCCAGCCCTGCCACAAACAATGATGTCATCGCCGTTGCCATGGCGCGCGGTCAGACGAGCCGAAACATGCCAGTCTGGAAAATAGGCCGCTTGTTTTGGGAAGTACCTCGTGAGCTCTATCATTGCTTTACTTGAGGCTGAAGTCGAGTAAATGTGTGCATGGCTTATTTTATGAGGCTTGAGTGTGGGAGAGACACCTGGCCCGGTTATTTTTTACCATCTCTATTTATCATTTAACTCTGTAAATAACTGCACCAGTGCAGAAATCCAGGTCTGGCTCAATAAATGGATCTTGTAAAGTTTCTCAGGCTTAGTTAACCTCCTCCCAAGTGGAAAGTCCCATTGGAGAGAGCGTGCCAGTTGTAATTTTCCGGCCTAACTCCTACACAGCGCCTGTAAATGCACCGAGTGCCCTTGTACTGTACTGAGAGGAATCTTACAGCACTGTGTCGTAATGACGCTTCAGTGCATTACTTCTGCAGATTCTAGCGACTCGTTTGATTGCAAATCAAAGGCAGAGATTGATTGCGTTTACAATGCAAGTATTGAGACTTTGCCGTGTCCATGTATCAATGCAGTGCCTTATATTTTTGAAATGCTTTCCTGCATCAGTCTAATGCTTTTTCTGCTCTGATGTGGAGGCAAGATACCAGTCAAGTGTTCTTAAAAGAGAAGAAAGTAATAGGAAGGGCTGATGAGTGAGTTTATTGTGATTGCTGCCGTTCTTCTCTCTGTGATGTGATGGTTTTATGTTCTGAATATCAAAGATCAAAGAAGTGGCCTGTGTTGATGAGGAGCTTTCATGTGTAATATAATGCAGTGGTCGACTGGTGTGGGTTTTCATGGCCAGTACTGATATCGTGAAAGCTGAAGGTATATATTACAGCATATATTATAATATCTTCAATGTATATGCTGTAATTCAGTGCAATGAACTGGTCACTTAAAACCAGTCAGGCAGCACCAAATGAGTGAGACGGCAAAATCCATGGATGTTTACTTGTGTTTTTAAATGATATAAATTGTGGATTATCTTTATTAGGGGAGAGTTCTCAGCACATATTTGATACATGGACACATTCTTTAGACAATATTCACTCCAGCTGACTTCTGAAGACAGAAATTATACACTATCCAATGGTAAGCTTGTTGGTAGAAATGAAAGTGAAACCTGGCTAAATGAAAACTGTTGAAATGAAAATAGAAACTGTTTGTAAGCAACATATTTAGAAAGTATCAGAAGCAGATTTTATTTTTATTAAACACAAAGTGTTGTTTACAAGACAGATTTGCAGCAAATACGTTCACTTCTGTGTCCTGTTCTATTCTTTTGAGCTTTGTATTTGATTTGTGTGTGTGTTAGGGCTGCACAATTAATCGAATTTCTAATCGCAATTACAATTATGGATGCCACAATTACATAATCGTTCAAAGCGGCAATTAATCGTTCAAAGTCCACTTATGTTATTCTGCACACTTTAGATGTTTTTTTTCTTTTTACATGTTATCTTAAGGGTTTTTCCATTTTTTTGTTTTAGTATAACATTATAATACCATTCATATTTTTACTTTTTTTATAATTTAAAGAAGAACCCAATCCGAAGTATATTTGACATTTGAGGCTTAATACTATAGAAAAGCACTAAAGGTTTTTCAGTGAGTGTTTTCAGCTTGTTTATTTTCATATAAAAATGCGGCATGCAGTTGCATCAAACAATGGTATAAACATCATTCAATGTAAATTGTGATAATCGTAATTAATAATCACAATTACAATTTCAAGGGAATAATCGACAATTATGATTTTTGTCATAATCGTGCAGCCCTAGTGTGTGGAGTCGATTCTTGACTGCTCACTCGATTCATTATGCCATCAGTTCAGCAGATCTGCTGATTTTGTAGTTCAGATGATGGCTTGATCACTTTCTAAACCACGCAGTTCACTTCTCACACAGCCTGTAAAAGCACACTCTCCTGAAGCGGCTGATAGTGCTCGTCTGTGTTAATGCCGCTCTCTTGTGTTTGCTGTAGGTGAGGCTGCTCTGAGAGGCGAGTCCAGAATGCCGGCCCTGTCCCTGTCCTCTGCAGTCAGCAATCACAGGACGGGCCCTCCTCCCATCAGCCCCAGCAAGAGGAAGCACAGCGGGGACCAAGCAGACGACGGCATCGACTGTAACAGCGAGCATGTGGCCAAGATGAGCCGGCTGTTTGCCGCACAGTTGTAAGTGGATCCGATTAACATCACGTGTCTGGTTTTGGATGCATCTGATGCACTGACAGACGCTCACAACTTGTGTCGTCTCCAGCGAATCTTTGGCAGGCAGGTGCTTTTTAGAAAGCCTCGTACTCAGCTGAAGTTAGGGCCGTGCGGGCGGTGTTCCTGCAGAAAGAACGTGGGGAATGCTTGGGAATGTGCTGAAGAGCGAGGGCTGGAATTCCTGAGATTCTGGCAGTCGGAGCCGGAGCACATGGGCCATGCCCTCATGGCAGAGCATTCCCTGCATTCCAGCCCCGGTATGAAGAGCGGCGCTCGGTCGCAGGACACCAGATCTGCTCTTCAGCAAGGAAAAGCCACACTGGAGCGCGGCAGAGCAGCCCGGGCTAATTTATGACCTGCAATTTGCTTGGTAAATTAGGACCAGTGCAGGAGCCAGTGTGAACAACAGAAGAGGCTTCTCAGCACAACAAGCTTGATTTGATCTGTGTTCGGGGCTTTGACATCAGTGTGCGCTCCTTTAATAGCACGGGCTGTTTTAAACTTTGAACGGATTTACTTTTGCAATGCTCTCGCTCTCAGGTACATAAACACTATTTGATCCTCATCCTCATCTTGGCAACACGTCAGAGCTTGTTGCCAGTTGAAAGGTTTAGCACTAGCAGGACCTGAACTGCTCTGCAGCAGATTGTAGTTTCATAACAGCACGTGCCCTTTTCACAACTTACACTCCGTTAGCACTTGTTTTGCACCATCTCTTCTGAGTTTACCAACACCAGATCCCCTTCATGCACCATTTTGCTAGTTGACGTACAGAATGTGCTTTAGCTCAGTAGTTTTTTTTAATGCAATTTCAAAATGTTTGTTTAGTGCAAATGGATTGGATTGTGTGAGCAGTTGTATCGTTGAGTTCACACTTGTTTCTAGAATTACTGATAAACTATTAAATTACTGATCATTAGTAGACCTCAGCAGAAACAAACATGTAGAATATAATTGTTTACAATTAGAGTATAAATAAAAATTACTTTTACATTTTGGCATTTTCAAACTTAAAAACTCAACAAAAAAAAACAAAAAAAAAAAGGTTAAAGCTGAAGCAGTGGTCACACAGAAGACATTGGTTTGTGTTGATGTTTTTTATACCGCATTTTATCTCTCTCTTTTTTTTTAACCTTTAAAACTCTTAGTGCACACAGGCTTGGAGTTTCGGGAAAGTTTTTGCCAAATGTTTCCTTGTATTTGAAGAGCAGGAGTACATTTACATTTGAACTCTGAGGACGGAGTTGTTGGTGTGCCTCTGTATTGCTCCAGGACATGTGATTTTCATCGGGTGGAGGTGAATGAGCCACTCTTGACTGTTTTTGTTGGGAGTTTGCGGCTGTCACCGGACACCGCGGCTCAGGTTTCCATGAGGGTGTTTCTCTATAGAAGGGAATGAAGCAGTGGGGGCTGGGAAACCTCTCTTCTTGTGCCTCTCCTCACTATAATCTTCTGCTGTTGTTTTGTTGTTAGAAGTGCACAGAGTGTTTACAGTTATGTTTCTTGTTAAGCTTGTTTTTGATCTGAAAGGAGTTTGTCCACATGTTAAGCTATTGTACGGTTTTAGTCTTTGCCAGACTAAACGGTGATACAAGCCTCCTAAGGCTAGAACAACTGGAAACTCAGGGAGACACATTGTTGTGGAGTGGGCTTCGTGTCAGGGTGGGGGCCATTTTCTGGTTTTCACTGCTGCCATGAAAACAAAGGGCCTCTTATCCGGTCAGCCCACTGCGTTCTGTCCCACCAGAGACGGCCCACTGTCGACGTCTACAGCAAAATAAGAGTCCCTCTTGTGTACTAAATGACTGATCTTTCTTTTAAAGTTTTGCAGATCAGAAATGCAACAGGCTTGATTCATGCGTTCACCTAGATTTCACCCAGCGTCGAGGGGTTTTATGAATGTGTTCCTGTAGAAAGTGTATTTCAGAGCGAACGGCCGACGGCAGCTTGTGTTCCTGCTGGGAACTCGGAGACTCCGTCTTTCTCATGCATCCGTGGCCAGCCAAACGGAGAGTCATGCGCAGGCCGTGCCAGCGTGGTTAGGGTTTATAAAATAGTGTTTTTCTGCTAACTTTTATATATAAACACACACATGACTGGCTCATTGGTGTTTGGATTATAATTTGTCAAAGCAGTGAAGTCTGAAGTTACCCAGGCGCTTTGAACCCATTACACGCAGTGCTTATGGATCCAACTCTCAAACCGCCTTTTACCTTTTTGGCTGCTTGTTTTAAAACCTGAGCCAAAAATAAGCAACGTGCCAAAATGTTCTAGTTGCTTCAGTAACCACATTTAATATTTACGAATGGGAAGTTAATGAATTCATTAAGAAATATAAATGTAACAGTAGTTAAACAGTATTGTGCTATTAATAAAGCTTGTTGGCTGATTTGTAATAAGAATGCTAGAAATATGGCTAATAGTGAGCAGCGTGAACATTTCCAGAGAACGCACTGTTTGTGTCCTGTGGTTCTGCCTTCCTCGCCTTGATTTCTCCCAGATGTTTCCTGTATCTTTGTGGGCGAGCTTCCAGTGACTTAAAGGAGAAATAAGAGAGACATCTTCCTGCCAGGATCTGTGGTGGAATCGTGAGGTTTTCCCACACGGCTGTGAAATGCAATTATGAGAAAATGTCCCCGGTTTTATTGGCCTGCATCTGTGACTGAAGTGAGTCTAGCAGAGTTCACATCACTTCAGTGGAGTTTGGAGCAGACTTTTTTGAAGTAAGCGTAAAAGATAACCGTTGGCTTTTGGCATTTAAGGGGTAATGCTAAAGTCATATAAAAGTGATGGAAGCGTTTGCTTCTGTTTTTGTATGTTTATTCCTGTATCGTACGTTTTGACTGATGTGTTCTGTGATGTTTGGATTGATGCGTGGCTTCATCAAAACACACGAAAGCTTCGTGATCTAATGGGAAAATGCCTTGTTCTCGGAGCAAGAGTCTTGAAAGCACTGGTAGATTATTGCCAGACCATTTAGCTCACATCAGAGAAGAGCAGCAAGAACTGAAAGATCTCATCAAAGGGCCTCATTGCTGTTTCTTTTCAAAGGATCTTGGGTGAAGAGGCTTTCAGCAGGTTTTTCTGAATGTTATTGTGCTCCTCCTAGATCTGACCTTACTGCTATTAATAAGATGCCTAAACCATACACAACTGTGTCCTTGTATTGTGGTGTAGATGTGCATTCACGGCAGCAACATTTTGGCAATAGTGTGGTAGTGTATGAAGTAACATGAATGTAACATGGATTCCTATTTAAATGACTGGATTTTCTTGTGAAAATTTGATAAACGTAACCTTGTATGATTTGCTATAAATTATTTTGTGGAGCATAAAGATATTTTCAAGAAAAGTCAAAAATTTAAGTGACCTGTTTTATTTTGAGCAGCTCAGCGTTTCTTTTCTCTCTCATGTAATAATGCAAAGCAGTCTTCCTGATAGCTGTGCACATTTACAGCAGCATTTCCATTTGTTTGACCCATTTCTAATGTCACATGGTGTAACCTTTCAGGTCAACAGTGGTGCTGTCAGCATGCTATCTCAACTTCTTGAGGACAATTAAGACGCTATGTGTACACGGCGTATGTATTACAGTGAAAGCGGATCCCGCTGAGGAGGAAGGGGCTGTGAAGGAGTAGCTTCTGACAGTAAGACAGATTTTGCTCCACAGCTTTCCATTAGTTATTGTGAGGACAGTAATTTCCGGTAGACGTAGCAGATGCTTCACTCGCCAATTGCGTTGCCAAGTAACGGGCGATTTCAAGGATTGCAGCCCACACAACGGAGACCCGACAAATCTCCAGTGCTTGTCCTCCCCGAAGGTGGAGCACGGTCACCAAACTGAGGTTACGAATTCTGCGCTGAAAGCATTTCCTTCAAATACCTGATTAGAGCTCTCTTGTGTGCCCGGTGAAGGGTATTAAGTTCTCTTCCTGTGAGGCACAGATGAAGCCTTTTGAATAGTGCACTTGGCCCCTCGCTGGGCCTCCGCTCTGCTGGCAACAGGAGGCCGATCGTTCCGGAAGGGTGGAATAGCGCTTCTGGGCTTTGCTGCATGTGTGTCTATTCTTTTAAGGGGGAAAAGAAAAACAGGAAAGGAGGTCGGGAGTGGGAAAGGGCCTTTTGTAGCGAGCCATCTGAGCTAATGCAGAGCTGGAGACGAGATTTGAAGAAGTAGAACAAAACTTGCTTTAAAACAGCCGAGATTATGGAGCAGCCGTAGCTACGCACTAGGGCTGGGTGATTTTTCAGATTTTATCAATTAAAACGAATTTAATGATTTGCCACAATTTAATTTTTTATATAAATCGAGGAATCTTGATTTGGAATAGAAATATTACCAAATGTTACAATTAGTCACTTTGACAATATGCCAGTGATAACAGTAAAGAGAAAATAATGATCCAATCGCATGTCACGTGATTAACCGCTCATGTGTGAAGGACCATAAATAAATCGTTAGGTGCCATTTGCACAGATTGTGCTTTTGTGTTGACAAAGATGCAACGTGGGCAGTGGAATAGGAAAAAATGGGAGTGAACTTCTTTTAACTCGAGCACAGTGTTTTTAGACTGCCGTGTCATGCATGAGACGCGAGCGCAACAGTCAAACACGTCCATGTTTACATAGAAAAACAATGCAAAAGCAGCGCAATCGAATAAAATACCTGTAAAGAACTACTTCTGTATGTCTGATATTTCATGTTTCCATCATGATGACAGACTGAAAGCTGCTGTTCATTGTTTTTACAGAACATTTATAGTTAATAGTCTACTGGTGTTATACCTACAGTCATTTTGATTTTGAATTACCTTGACTTTTATTATTTCTGAACATATATGTATAAGACAAGTTTGTACAATATGTAGTTGTAGTTTATGCATCTTTTCTGCAAAGATATTTAACAAGTGACTTGTTTAACATTTACATCATGTTGACAACTTCATGTGTGCTGCACTTGGAATTGAATTTTCTTTAACTAGAGCGTTAATAAAGAAAAAGTTGCTTGAATCATTTTGTAGTTATGTTTTTGTTTTTACAGAACATTTATAGTTAATAGTCTACTGGTGTTATACCTACAGTCATTTTGATTTTGAATTACCTTGACTTTTATTATTTCTGAACATATATGTATAAGACAAGTTTGTACAATATGTAGTTGTAGTTTATGCATCTTTTCTGCAAAGATATTTAACAAGTGACTTGTTTAACATTTACATCATGTTGACAACTTCATGTGTGCTGCACTTGGAATTGAATTTTCTTTAACTAGAGCGTTAATAAAGAAAAAGTTGCTTGAATCATTTTGTAGTTATGTTTTCAAGTTGAGTAGTTACAAATCGAGACTCGGTCAAACGTTCTGAAAAAAAAAAAAAAATCAAGATTTATTATTTATTTTATTTTTTTACCATATCGCCCAGCCCTACTGCGCGCTAAACGAACGCTTGAATGTAAGCGATGGCGACTCTGTCCAGTCCGCTCTTATCGAGTCATCGACTGCTCGCGGGAGGTGTGCGCTCTTGCCAGGCCCGCTGAATGCAGCAATAATAGCTCTCCTTGTTTGTGCCGCTGGACAGGGGCCTCAGTACAATCCCTCCTTTGTTTGTCTTGCAGAGGCAAGCCTGCCAGTGGGGACTACCGCAAGGACCCCCGGGATCGCAGCCGCAGCCCCATAGAGCGCATCGGCGCCTCCCCGATGAGTCTCGTTGGTGGTCACCTGTATGCCCACATGCCCAGCCTGGCCATGGACCAGCCTCTCGCACTGACCAAAAACATGGACACCACCCGCACTGTCGCCATCTCGCCCACTGTCAGCCCCGTCGAGCGCCAGCAGGTAACTCCAGCACTGCCATCATTTGCTCAGCCTCGTGTCGTTTTAAACTTGCATGACTTGTGACTTTCTTATGCAGAACACAAAAAAATGTGTTGAATAATGCTGTTTTTTGGCCACTTGTATAATGGAAGTCAATGGGAACGGAACTGTTTGTTCACCAACATTCTTCAAAACATCATTTTTTTTTATGCTCCACAGAAAAAAAAAATCAGTCAACATGAGTCAACAAACATGAGGCTGAGTAAATAATTTCATTTTTAGGTAAACTCTCCCTTTAAAAGAAGCAGAAAGCTTTAGCATATATTTACATTTTTTTAAAAAGGGACAAAGTATGTTTGGCTTTGTCTTGGTATTGATGTTTAGAATCTTTGTTACTCATCAAAATGTGTATAAAAAGAGTTTTGCGTTGGTATGAATCTGAACTCTTGCTGGGCGAAAACTGCCCTGAAACCATGTTGAGCTACATTTCAGTTTCCAAGAAAAAATCAGCTATCCACTGACGAGAACAGAAGACTTTATTAATTCAGGTCATGAACAGCAGGTCTCTACAGTGTAGAGGAATCTAAAAGCCCCTTTTTTTTATTTTAGTAGTTCTTGTGTTTGTTTGGACACTTGCTCTGCTGCTCATCTCATACGTGTGTGTGTGTGCAGAATCGTCCCTCTGTGATCACATGTGCCCCAGCGAACAACCGTAACTGTAACCTCACCCACTGCACCGTGTCTCACAACGGCTGCTCACCCAGCCTGACTTCAAGCTACCGCAGAGCCTCCAACTGTAAGTACAAACTGCCCTCACTGTCCATGGATGGGCTACAAATTGATGTCCAATTACTTTTTTTCCCTTAATGAATTCACTTAATAAAGATTCTCTGCGGAGGGAACTATTAGATGTTCAGTAAACGTGAAATGTTGCACATTTTGTGTGTTAATCATATTACCAGTAGAAGAAATGGAGCAGTTGTGACATGCAGGAAGTGACATCGTTCAGACCATTTCTAGAGTATGGTCTAATTTTTTAGGTTTTATAATTGAACTGTAATGTTGACAGCATTAGTCAAGATTAAACACCTCAATATCAAGGTTTTAAATCAAGTTTCGTAACTTGAATTAAGGACCATAAGATCTTTTTAGTAGGGATGTAACAGTTCACGATGCTTGTTTCACAATATGATTTTCTCACATTTAAAAAAAAAATTAGATTTGACAAATTATAAATGAAAAGGTGTCCTTTTATTGTTGCTTAGACAAACAGCATTGTAAACAAAGCAAGCCCTGCCTTATGAACACTAATATGCATTATACAGAGGCAAGATGAAAATATCATCTAAGCTTTTCTGAAGACAGTCAGTTCCCCTCAGAGATTCATTCATATAAAGTTGTATCACGATTCATTTAACATCTCAACTGATTTGAATCATCACATATTTATATTGATTTTCAACCGGCTCAGGGTGCATTGCTACATCCCTACTCTTCATTTGTAGGAAATAAATTTGTCCACTGTTTTTTTTTTTATGATTTCTTTTTTTTTTTTCTTAGTTCTAAGTTCTCAAACATAACAAAAATTTCAAATAAGAAATGTTAGTCAAACTATGAAAAATTCAAATTTTGTAAATTAAGAAAGTTGCATTATCCATCTGCTACATGTATGAAGAATGCATCAGTACTAGAAGATTTTCTGCTAGGCCTTCTGCAAATTTTAATGGTTTCAATATAGAAAATATACTTTTCTAGAGACAAGATATCACATTTACAATGAAATGATTCATTGATGCTTTCCAGTTCTGTAGGTTGACTTTGTACAGACTATAGAGCTAACTTAAGTAGGTATAGAAAGCATATTAAACAAATGTTCTCCCTTCTTGAATCAATCATAATGAGTTACAAATTGTGTTTGGCTCTCAAAGTGTACTGAAACTTTATGAAATCAGATTTTCCTGATCTAGCTAGGGAAATGAGATGTCTGGACTCTTCCTGCAGATGTTAGTGTTAGTATTACACACACATACAAGCGGTCCAGCTTTCTGATAAGTCGTTAGATTTCACATTGTAATGCATGCAGTGCTGGGCAAACACCCCAGATTCTGCTGGAGGTCTTATCTGTGATTTACAAAGCACTAAGCGGTGTTTCTGTGTCCCTCAGCGAACACGGCCTGCGACCCTGTCATCGAGGAGCATTTCCGCCGCAGCCTGGGCAAGAACTACAAGGAGCCCGAGCCGGTCACAAACTCGGTGTCCATCACCGGCTCGGTGGATGACCACTTCACCAAGGCACTGGGAGAGACGTGGCTGCAGATCAAGGCCAAGGGCAGCTCCTCGGCGAGCCCAGACTCCTCCACCAACGGCCACATGGTCAACCACAATCACTCCCCTTCCCTCGTGTCTTGAGAAGTGGACCGGCGAACCCCATCCCGCCGCTTCTCTCTCAAAGCATGCATGTTTTAGCAGAGCTGACACATAGCTATGTACATAAAAGAACGCAAGACGAGGAGATGCTCCTTTAACTTTCATTTGTGCTTTTGATTCATTTTCTTTTGTTTGTAAGTATGCTAGTATACTTTAACTTGGCTGTTGCGTTATGGGATGCCCATACCTGTTGTTTTTTTTTTTTGTTTTGTTTTTTTTGAGATAAAGATCAGCCAGACACTATCGAACCATCCGCCTCAGATACCAAAGAAACCGCTGATGCAAACCTTTCACCCAGAAGCCATTGTTCCATCGCACTCTGTCAATCTTTCTCGCTCTCTCCCGGTTGTGTCCTGAATCTGTTCGTGTATACTTGAAGCGGAAGGCCTGGACTGATCTTGCACTGTAGATGGACTGATGTGAGTGTAGCGTCGATGGGTTGTTCAGAAGACGTTTGGCAGGTGCTGCGGTTCACGTGGCTTTCACAGGAAACCTTGGTCAGGGGAGGGACTCGTTTTCAGTCGCTTGGGCTCTGGCTTCTCTAGGGCGCTGACACAACTGGACTGCGGCAGACGTGGGCATTCTTCTCGTTTCGGATGGGTCTTTCCCAGGCACTGTGGTTTCAGTAGAGTAGACTAAAGGTTTAAGGGTAAGCTAGTGCTTATAAGTGCATGTTTTAAAAATAGCTGGTATCTATTATTGTGTTGACATTTCAATCGTAATACTTCTAGCCTTTTCTTCAGATTTTATTATATTTTTGTCAGTAACAGTCCTAGATAAACTTACTGCTGGTACAGTTGTACTCCATATTATTATTTTCTATTCAATATTCATTGTGGTAGCTGCCAGATACAGAAGAGAAATCAGCCTCCGGACAGGCCATCTATATATTAACGGTTGGTTTTGTATGTTGTTATTAATCGGTGGTACAGGATGCTGTCGCTTTGCATGACTGAAAAAAGAGCATTCGCAGCTATTGACAGGTCAACTGTAGCGTTGACAATCTGCCGGAAATGTCGAGCTAGTTTCGTGTGCGTTTGTTGTTCTTCATCTTCTCTTAATTCTGCGTTGGGCTGTCGAAGCGGTCGGCCTGTACCGTATCACACACATTCCTCCGATAGGGAACGGCGTGCAGGTCTTGTGTTCAGTGTAGCTACTCACTAGAGACTGCAGATACAGGAGACGCTCGATGCTCCAGCTCGTCCTTACATTCCATCAGCCCTGGATTCATACACGACGCTCCTCAAAAGGACTCGCCAACTCTGCTCTTTCTGCGTGTATTTGCCACGAGGAGACCTCGAGGACACACACACACACACTAACTACCGTTTTACTGGGTAGGACACTTTCTGCTTGACACACGTTACCCTACACGCTGTAGGTAAATCACTTAAAAACAAAGTTTTATATAGGAAACTATAAGACCATCATTACGCTGTGCGTAACGAATGTACAGAGAAAAAATCTTAGGTATTTTTTGAGGAACAATTAATTTGTTAATGATATGTAGCTATTTAATTTTTCCCTTGTCCTTTAGTGTAATCATGCTTTTTTTTTTTTTTTGAGAAAAAAGTTGATCTTTTTTGTTTGTAGGTTTTGTCTGTTTAAGGTTAAAGTGCAGGAACACCGTTATTCTATGAAAACACTGCGTTAGTGTAACAGCCACTTGTGTATTATTTCTGAAGGCTACCGAGTCTCGACACACTTCTGAACGGAGGCTTTCGACTGTCTCTGGAGACAATTGAACAAACAGACTCGAGTCCCAGTGACTTGCTGCACTCCAGTACCGTCGCTCAACGAGATTTTCTATTTGATGTGCGCTTCCAGGAGAACGACGACACAAACCAACAACGTTTAAAACACTTCTCGCTGCACCTCGAGTGTACTTCTTAATGATTTGTAAATCTGTATTATACCCTCATTTCTTGGCCTTGTTTCTTCTCGGAATAAAACAAACTTTTGGCAGGCCATTGTTTTGTACTTTTAAGTAGCCTCAATGAACAATAAAGTGCTCTTAAACCACAGCCGTGACTTATGATTCATCCGTTGTGAAAACAACTGATTGCATTTGGGGAAAAATAACATGCTTTAATGTCAGTTACTGTAATTCCACTAGAGCTAACTGCAATTTGTGAACACAATGAAATGATTTCACTGCTCTAGCATCACTGAGCATGTGTCAGGAAACGTAGTCTTTCATCTGGCCTCATTTTCCCATGACCTACAACACCGACTGAGACCACGAGCAGCACAGAGAAAGATCTCGAGTGCTAACCTTGTGATTACAGCTCACTGACCTAAGTGACCAAAAGCAAGCAAATATGACAGGACATTTCAGAATGGATTATGTGAATAGATTTCATGTTTATTATGAGCACAAATGGCAAATTTCAGAATGCCACATTTCGAGAGCGTTACAGTGCAGTGGTGCGAGGACAGAGTTCAGTGCGGTCATTTTCCAATGAGCCACAACACCGCAAACACACCTGAACAGAAGAGCATTGGCATTGAACTCAGGGAAGGTCCAGACCCCTGCCATAAACAATCTAATACACTTTTAATGAACATTAGGCCAGTTTAAAAAAAAAAAAGCCTGAAGACAGGATCTTAGTCAGCACAGATGCCATATTTAACGGCCCTTGGAAATCATGGCTGATGAAATGCCTTCCCAAAAACTGTCCAGTGGACAAAAACTATGAAAACTGAAAACATCTGAAAACATGATTTGGAAAGAAACGTTCACCCCAAAATGAAAAATCTGTAATTTACTCACTCTCACATTGTTTTAAACACAAGATATTCTCACTCTCACATTGTTTTAAACACAAGATATTCTGAAGACTTGGTAACCATTCAGTTGACGGTAGCCATTGACCTCTATATTTTGGAAAAAAAAATACTATGGAAGACAATGGCTACCGTCAACCATTTGGTTACCAACATCCTGCAGAATATCTTCTTTTGTGTTTTGAAGATGAACCAAGTCTTATAATAATATGAGGTGTAATATGAGGGTGTGTAAATTACATTTTAAATTTTTAAGACCGCTCAACGCTGGACTCGATGTCTAGACCAGAGCAGATCTCTGGTGTCTATCCCGACACAGACAAGCTCTGACAGCTATAATGTGATTTCATGTGAATGGTTAAGACATATTTCAACAAGTATATGATGACGGGTCATTGTGCAGTGAGGTCACTGTCTGAGAAACCAATATAAGAGCACAGACGAGCTGCCAGTTAAAGGAGCTTCATTCTGTGTCTCCAGCGGTTTCTTCAGATGCTCTCGTCGTCGCTCATGTCCCAGATCTGCAGGACGGAAGAACAGAAGATTAGAAAGCTGTTCAAACAAGAGCTGTGAAACTGTGCAGCATTATCATCTGATGACGGTTCATCTCAACATGCAAAACTCTTCTCAAGCGCTAATCCTGCACACAACACGCATGTTTGAAGACTAAACTCCGAGACTGGAGATAAGCGTCCTTTGAAGACAAAGCGGCCAGACGCGAGTGTGTGAGTGTGAGTTTGGATGACGGAGGCACACCTGGCTGTCAAAAGCTCTGTCATTGACATGCTAATAAAAGCCGAACAAAAAACAACTTCAGCGGCCTTTTCACTTTGAAGTCTGCGCCAAGTCCAAAAAACTAAACAAAAAACACACAGCAGCTCCTCATGGATCATTCATATAAAACCTTGCAGTGTAAGCCAGATCAGTCTCTGTGTGGTTATCATCAAAGTTCATCAAGAATCTCGCCCACAGGCAAAACACAATCTTGTGTAACATTTCTGAGAAAACCCGTAGATGCAGAAATGTAATATCACATCCAAAAATCATTTGTGACTCAGATGAACACTAGTAGCAGTAAAACTTTACAATTATTTTTGTATTTGCATGATTTGTAAACTAATAAATTTCATCATTTGCATCGCATAATCAGCTTTTCTGATGTGGTAAACTTGCTGGATAGCACACCCGGTGCAGAATTACACTTGAGATGTGAAGCGCTCGTGTATGAGTCCTGCGTAACACGAGTCACGATAAAACTCGTAGAAGCAAGACAAAATGACATGGTTGCTTCAGCAAATGAGCTTTTATGCCACATTTGCTTTTGTTAACATTATCAGTCGGGTTAAGTGTGGGTGCTATTTTATTTTCAAATGCGATCAAGCAACTGGACATCATTGCATTTCTGCACTGCTACAATATATGCATGAAGCAACATAAAATGTTTCAGAGAAAATGTCACGTTTTAAACATTTCGCTTTGAAACTGCCACGAAACATGCAATGTAATTTTTGCAAAAATGTTGCCGCAGGCACATATTTTACTTCAGCACATGTTTTTTTTTCTCCAGCTGCAGGTTTAATAAAGTGCACTAATATAATTGTGTTGTGTGCTGTGCTGTTAAAATGCATATACATTTTTTTTTTTTAATAGATCAAATTAATTATCCAGTTGAATTAATTTGATATACAAAATAAAGTTTGAAAACAACCAGCTTTTGTCAACTGCATCAGAAAAAAAAAGAAAAGTGTGAGCCAGTGTGTGTTTGAGAAGCACAGCTTCAGAGGACTGCATGTCTCTCTCTCTCTCTCTCTCTGTCTCGCTCTCTCTCTCTCTCCCTCTCTCTCCTCTCTCTCTCTCTCTCTCTCTCTCTCTCTCTCTCTCCCCTCTCTCTCTCTCTCTATCTCTGTGTCTCTAGCCAGAAGAGTGTCTGTATTGCTATAAAGCAGTCTTTGAAAGGCTATGAAGATCAGAAAGCTGCTGCAGCGGTTCAGAGCTGTAATTACATGAATCCTCTTAATAACAGTGTAGCGCATGCATCATTCAATTACTCCAGCGCTGTAGAGTCGCCTCATGAGCGTGTGACCGCATGTCATACATGTTACACATATCAACATATACATATATACACACAGCATGTGTGTGAGAGAGAGACAGATCAACACTATAAAGACTATTCTGCCAAACTAACACTCAGTCCCACAGGAGCTTGTGTCTGTCTTCATGAAGCACAGCGCTCTGTGCCAGTCTATTATTCTGAAGTCATTACTGAGAGAACAGCAGAGCGAAGATGTAAACACAGCAGAAGATGAGTGACCGTCTTCATTTCTCACTCACATTAACCTGTCGACAGCACGGAGTTATTATTAAAGGTGTCGTTACATAACAGAAGATCCATCATTCACAAGACATCTGTGCACTTAAAGAGCTACCATTAAAACAATGACAGGAACAAATAAACTGAAATCATACGAGATGTCCTGTTGTTAAAGTAACATTTCTTGGGAGTAAGTATGTCTCTGCAGCTTTGTATCTTAACTGGGTTGATTCTATTCATTTGCAGACTTCATGTGTCTCGGTTCGAGTCGATGGGCTTGCGTGGCCAAAGCAGCTCATCTGCAACACATGCAAACGTGATATTCACTAAAGTCAGGATGAGAACACTGCACATCACACAGCTTAACTATAACAGTAACGCTTTAGTTTGAGGAGCTGGAGGAGGAACGTGTCTGGTCAGGTTTAACACACAGCTGTGTGGATGAGGGACACGGACGAATGCATTCGGGGAAATCCAGGATATGGAAAGTCTTTAAAATGACTGATATCGAGTATTTCATGAGATCTTAGTGATGTTACAATGTCTCATATGAGTCCTCAAGTACATAAACTGGACTTGTCTAGAGGACTAGTTGAATTTTTTGCATTTGTATGATAAAGTTTTGTTGCCTTGTGTCCTTTTTGAAGCTTCGGTGCTCATTCATTTAAGCTGAATAGAAAAGAGCAACCGGTACATGATTCAAAACTCCTTTTGTGCTCCAAAGAAATTGATACCGGTCTGAACAAACAATGGATCAGCAGCAAATCATTTCATCACTGTTACTTTTACAGCTTAAAGACATGATTGATGTCATTTCTATACATTTAAGGGGGGATATGTAATATATATCGCATAAAAAACAAAATAAAATAATATAAATGTATTGAATAAATTGTTTAATATAATAATGAGCAATGAACAACATTTTTACAGCATTGTTTTTTGTTTTTGAATTCAGGTTAATTTTCATTTATAAATATACTAGTAAATAAAGTAAAAATACTATATACTATTGTTGATGGTTTGTTATATTGTTCATTGTTAGGCACTCACCCATGGTTTCACAGACGAAGCTTAAGCCTATACCAGACTAAAATGTAAGTCTGAGCTTAAGTCTGAGTCAGTTTTAGTTTAGTTTCTGTTTTTAATTCTGCTTTAGTAATTTTAGTGCTTCAACTTAAACTTATTTCAGGTAGTTGCCAAAGCAACATTTCTAAATTATTTTAGTTTTTTTTTCATTTGCATTTACATTTAGCCAATTACACAAGTCATTTAAGTTTTTCATGTAGTATGTTGTTTTATATTTCAGCTTCATTTTAATTAACAAAAATGTTTTATTGGTTTCAGTTAACATTAATAACCCTGCTTTGAATGAAATAAACATTAACTGAAATAAAATAAATAAATACAAAACTTTTGCTACTTGCCAATTCAATATTTCTTGTTTTTGTAAGTTGAAGTATTAAAATAACTATAACTAAATCAAGCTATATATATATATATATACAAATAAAAAATTAGTTTGTAACATTTGTATAAAAAAATACTGCAGTGAACACTACAATTAGTGTAAAAACTGAGAAACTGGATTAAGATGCACCATGCTGCAGAAAGGCACTGTTCACTTAACACTAGTTATTTCCATACTGTGTTCATGTACGGCAATAGTTTCTCCAGCATACAGCACAGTCTCTCAGAGCGACACGGCAGAGAGCGAGTGTGTGGTCTGTATGTTTGGGTGGTGTTACGCTGCGCTCAGGAACACTGGCTGACGTGGAAGGGGAAGTTTAGTGCGCTGCTTGGAGCACACAGTCTGGGTTTTTCCCTCCTCACGTCTCTAAACTCCTCCTCTGGCTGTCCTCCAAACTCACTTCCACACACAGCTCCACACTCGCTCCCTCCAGACCATGAGTCACCGCTTCAGCCCAAAACACACACACGCACTCACTCACACACACACACACACACACACACACACACACACACACAGCCAGTGTAGAAACACATTTCTACTGTAAACACACTCATACTGTACTGTACAGATCAAGGAGGCATGGTGAATATGGAGAGAGTGTTTCTCGCGCTCTTCTTTCTCTCCGTGTCGCACAGATTGACAGAATCAGCAGCGAGTGAAGCGCAGCGGAGGGTGTGTAGCGCTGCAGCTGTGGTTTGTTGTTGGGGACGAATGGATGGAGGCCCCACTCCACTGCGCTCATCCTGGCTCCGTCTCTCTCTGTGACACACTTCCTGCCCCACAGATCCAGGGAAAGGCCATTTTAGGGTCCCGCTCCTTCCGGACTGAGCTTTCTTCCCACCGCAGTGAAAAAAAAAGGGTTCTGTTCCTTGCAGCAATGCAGAATGTCGATTCGAAGGAGACATTCGTCCACAAACTGTCATTATTTACGCAAGTAATATGCTCATATCTTCAACACGAGCACAGACAACACAAAATGAGTCCAAGTGAACGGGAAACCTGGAATAGAGCTGCATGATTTGGAGAAATAATGTAACACTCCCAGTAGTATGCTGCGGAGGCCACACAAATAAAAGAGGGAATCAACCGTTCCCAATAAGAAAGGGACCCAAAAAACAAGACAAGCAACAACAGAAGCGTAGTATACGTACAGAGCTGGGTAGATTACTTACACATTGTAATATGTTACTGATTCCAAATTACATGACAAAAATTGTAGTTAGTAACGTAATCCCTTACATTACACATTTTAGGTAATGTAATCAGACTACTTTTAGATTACTTTTGACCTATCTCTTTTATTGCATCGAGTTAATAGGATAATTCTGTCAGGACCACTATCGTCAAAGATGATTGACAATTAGCATACAGTTTGGATTGGCGGTATGCTTCTGTTCTGGGCAAGAACTCCCTGCGCATCCATGCAGCCTAGCATAAGAGCAGCAATAACCCCCACCAGGGTAAACGGAACTGTATTGCAGATATCATTAAAGTTCAATCATTTTATGTACACATTTTAGAATTAGTCTGATTAAAAGGAGAATTAGAAGGCTGAATCCTGACTGACAGAGGAGGAGCTGGGGATGGAGGAGGGTAATTAGCTATTGAGCAATGCGAAATTCTATGATTAAATTCTAAAATGCTTATTGTAACAATTCAATTCCAATGATACTTACAAATCAAAAAAAGTTATCAGACGAAGTTCATATGTAAAACTCCACATGCGAGGCGGC